GCTCAGGGGCTATTTATGCCACATGTTGGGAATCCATCCTCCTTTGGCACAGCACTTGCTCTCAAACAGTGACCCTGCTGCAGGTTGTGGCACATCAGGAGAGGAGCAGCAGCTGGAGCAGGCTGAAGAAAGAGAGGAGCATTGGCACTAGAGAGAGGAAGGATAGATTTGAGCAGCACCTCAATTCATGAACTGAGGCTTTTGGTGCTTAGCTGAAAGGAGGTTTCAGACACTTGGTTGATGCAGTCTCCCACTGCTGTTGTCTTCACAGACATGAAGATGTGTTCAGCTGTAGCTGTCTTCTGTAGCATCTCCTGCTGAGGAGAGCCTGGTCTGCGCTGTGGGAACCACCCAGGGCCAACAGCTCCTACGTTACTTCCCTGGACTGGGTGCTCCCATGTGCTCTGCCAGTGTGCTCCTCTGGTGTACAGCAGATGAAGGGAGCTGGCTGCTGCAGTGGCAGCGCTGCCATTGCTCTTGAAATGCTGTAAAGGTCCAGCACTGCAGTGACATTGCAGGGCCTGGCCAGACTCTTCCCCTGGTCAGGGCTGACATGGTAGTGGTCTGTCCCTAGCCTTCGCTGCTCACATCCTTGCTGGGGCATAACGGAGGGGTCAGGCTCTTACTGTTCCCCACACTGACCGCGTTCGAGTCCTTGTTTGCCGTGCAGGGAAGGGTTGAAGAGCGCAAGGAGACAAGATGAAAGAGCACCAGCGTGAGTTACCCTTGAGCTTTCCTCACAAGGCTGCAGTGGTATTGTGTTTAACTGCCGCATTAGCTTTCCAGGATCATACTTTGCAACACAACGGAGAATTTGTCTTGCACGTTCAGAGCTGGCAGCCGGGAGCTGACGCTGCTTTGTGCCGAACAAGCTGTGTTTGATCCCTCTCTCTTTTCCCTCTTGCCATTTTGCTGCCGAGGGTAGAGGGCAGCGGGGGAAGTTGTTAGCTGGATCCTGCGAGCGTGTGTGAAGTGAGAAGATTAGAGCGGGCTCATCACAGACCCGAGGGGAAGGCGGGAGATCTGATCCAGGGCAGGCTGTGGCATCCTCTGGCGAAAGGGAGTCGTGTTCTCTGGCCTGTGCAGTGGGGGCATGGGGGTCCAGGTGCTTAATTGCGTGCGCATTAGGCCGACGAGTTTTGGCTGTCTGCACAGAGATTGTCTTACAAAGGAGATGATCAAAGGGTTAACAGAGAAAAGATGATTAAAGAGCAGTGTAGGAATTATGACACAGAGCTGTCGCCACAGTGTGCTTTGGAGAAAGAGGGCAGAAGATGCAGTCTGAAACCACACTATTTATTTATTTTCCCCCCAGATGAGGTAAGAGCTGTGGCTTGCTGGCAAAGCAGCACACCATATTTCATTTAAGCCTAGCAGCTCACTTCTTCTCACTAGTGGGGCTATGGCAGGGAACTGTGGGCTTGGGTCTGCTGTAAAAGAATTTATTTATTTGGAATTACAACAACAATAAAAAAAACCCAAACAATTATCCCGGGTTCAAGGCGATCCAATACATCATCAAAAATGCTGTAAAATGCCTGCCATGTTGAAGTAATCATTTAAACAGCAGCTTCATCAGATCCTACAGGGCTTCCTTCCTGCCTCTTCATCACTGTAGGCTCTAAATATCATCCAACCCTTCCAAACGCCATTGAACTTACCCCGAATAGACCCGGCCCAAAGGCAATAAAATACCCCCACTCCATCGCCATAGCTGCTGAGCTGCTTTCTCTGAGGCAGAACGGGCAGGCCTCTGGTCAGCCCCTGGCTTTCTAGCCTTCTCCTTCTCCTCCTCCTCACCCCATGCAGCCCCCACCCAGGTGGTGGTGCCCCAGGAGCCCTGGGCTGGGGCTTTCTGACCAAATGCCACCTCTCAGCAACATGCCCGTCTGTTCGTCTTGGTGTTTGGCGGGACAGGAGATGCGGGTGCCTGAGCATTCCTCTCCTTTTCTTAGCTCGCTTTCCCACTTATCCATAGGAATAAGCCCAAATGCTTTCAGTAAGGGGAAAAATAAAACAGTTCAGCCCCACATTTTTTGAGTGGGCAAACCAAAGCCAAGGGAGGTGTGTGAGGATGGTCAGACTTCTTTCTCCACATCCAGTTTCTGACCATCCTCTCCTGGCTAGCTGTTACGCAGTTGTTAGTCACTGTGTAAGAACTGGAAACGCATTTGCAGCAGCTAAAAATGGTGCAGTCGCTAAAAGACCTCAGGTGCTAAACTTTGCTGTGTTTATTCATAAGAGGGCAGGAGGGGCTAAAGGGGCATGGCAGCAGGATTTTTTTGTCTTTCTGTGTCTATTGTTTGCATTGGTGCTAAGATCAATAGTTCCTGAGTCCCTGCAGTGATTCTGCAAGGTGTAACCATCACCACTAGCTGGTCCTCTCATTAGCTGCATCAGCAGATGTCAAGAAATTAAACCTGAAATAGTAAGGAGAAGCAAAATGGATGGATCGTCAATCATTTATTAGCGTTCACTGATGCCGATGTTAATGCTTTCAATAAGCCTAATGAAAAGCGTTTGACTGTCTCTGTGAACTTGATTATTGATTATTAGTGAACGATTAGAGCAATTTGATATCTTGCTGATGCCATGCTCCTATTGCATTGCAGTTAAAATGTCAGCTAACGTGCCATTTAATATTCTATTAGTATTGAATTAGCACTTATTACACTGTGAAAATCATCACCATAAATCCTTATTAAAGCGTGATCCATACAGCTGGGTGGCATCTCTGACAGACTAAGAGGGTGCGTGTGTGCAGACGGACATACTGAGATGCATCATCCACTCGGATGCATGTTCAGAGCATGCTAGGACTTAGAATTTCCACATTTGTACATTGATTTTTCCTGACAGTTTGAGAGGATCAGGTATGCTGAACAGAGCAGTTCAAATCTATTTCACTTACGCTTCCCATTTTCCTCCTTTCCCTCTCTACTCTTGGCTTTATTTCAGTAGCAACCTGCTAACTTATTTAAGGGGTACTTGCAATGTTGTCTGCCTGTAGACATTGATCACTGTCCTAGGGCTGACCTCGGAGGGCGTAGGACAGGTTTTGAGACATGTTTTCTCTTTGGCAGAGTGGAGGGAGGGTCCCTAGGTGAGTATCCCCTCAGGAGTGCTAGGATGTGTGACTCTGACCGTGCCATTGAGCTATTGCTGACCTGGAGGACATCGCAGGGCCATCTTTGCTACCTCCAAGCAGAGGTGTGTAATGACCGGGTGTGGGGCAGAGCCCCAGGGTGCTGTGCTGTATCACATAGTGCTGTGGTGTAGGTCTATAAAGCAATCTGGGAGGGCTGGTGCAGAGTGCTGGATCTGCTGGTCCCCAGCAGCACTGATAGGTGTGCCAGGGGATTTTCAGGAGTGGTTGAGAAACTTCAGCTCCCACTGACTTCAGCTTCGGCCTTTAATCTGTTTAGCTTCTCACCACCGCCACCCCCCTCGGTATTTTCACAAATCAAAAATGTGCAGAGAGGGGCTTTGAGCACCTTTGAAAAAGACCTAACCCCCAATTCTCAGTGCCGTTACAACTCTATGCAGAAATGTGTGTGCAAGAAGGCCGGTGACCCTCAGGCAGCTGGCTCTGGAGACAGCCTGGGTGTCCCTGCAGGGCCACTGCTCCCAGTCTTGGGGCACAGACCCATCCTCAGGTCCTTGCTTCCAGCTCCTGTCACTGGTGATTACATCCCGGGGTGGCCAACTGAACTAGGGCACCACCATCTCACCACGGTGCTGGTTTCCACGTGTCAGTGGCTGCTCATGGATTCCCCTGTCTCTCTCCTTTTTTACAAAGAGCAGCTTTTAAGAAAGCAAAACGCAGTTCACTGCTGAGAGATCACCTCAGGACAAGTGTCTGGCTGGTCAGGACAGTGGGCTCTGGCCTGAGGGGCGAACCCTTGCTCTCCTTCCTTGGCTGGACTGCAGTGGTGCTGGCTGGGCTCTGTTGGGCAGCTCTCTAAAGCAAATGTTTGCTGGATCAGACAGAGCTCTTCCAGCTTGGCCAGCAGCATGGCGTGCCTCCCATTGATGCCCACGCAGCCTGGCTTTTCTCCCACGCACACATAACCCCAGAACAACTCAGAGAGCACCCATGGGCATGCCAAAAGGGAGGAGGTGAGAGGTGCCGGCCATAATGGTAGGGTCACATCACAAGGGACAGCAGCTGTAGCGCAGCATGAATGAAATGCATTCAGACAGAGGAACTTGGAAAATGTCTGACCCATGCTAAGGGGCTCTGTGAAAGCCTACTGTCAAATATTTGTCTTATCTTGAAGCGATAATCTTTATCCTCTCTCAAATACAACACATGCATGAATAGTGGTGGTGAGAGGTGCTGGGTTATTTGGATGCCAGGAGGCAGAACTCTGAGAGGTGAAGGAGCAATAGCTCTGGAGACTTGCTTGGGGGAGGGTGTGTGTTAAGAGGGTGGTGTCTGAGGAGTGAATTCCTCTTTCCACAAAGACATTTTTTGTCAGAGGGATGAAGATGGGAGATACACTCTAGCTCCCTCCTCTTGTGCTCCCCCTGAGCTGACAAAGCTGGAGCCCTGAACGTTTGCGTTCCAGCCTGGGCAGGGGCTGGGAAAGTAACTCTCTTGTATGCTTAACTTTTGAAGATGAGGGAGAAGCATGGGGAGAACTCCTTCTGACCTTTCCCATTGGCACAGTTAGAAGGGATTTGGTGACCAGGTTCTCTTGTGGCCTTCCAAAATCTTTTTTGGTGCAGGTGTAGGCCACACACAAAAGGAAGAGAGACCAAGAGGCATGGCTGCCTCAAATCCCATGGTTTCATCAACCAAAGGGTTCCTGAAACTCTTAAAAAAATAATTGTGAATTACATGGCCATGGGGCAACGATGGTGAGGAGATGCTGTGGTTTGTTGGCAAAGCTGAAGTGTGCAATGAAGTTTCTGAGCAAAGTACTAAAGGGAAGTAACAAAATGGAGATGATGGAGAGGTTTATTAATCTCCACCTTACCTTTCTCATCCTCTGTAGGTGTTATGTAGAAGACAGAAGCTCCAAGGTGGCCTGGTTGAACCGTTCTGGCATCATTTTTGCTGGAGAGGACAAGTGGTCCCTGGACCCTCGAGTAGAGCTGGAGAAGAGAAACCCCCTGGAATACAGCCTGAGGATCCAGAAAGTGGATGTCTACGATGAGGGGTCCTATACGTGTTCAGTGCAGACACAGCATCACCCCAAGACCTCCCAGGTTTACTTGATCGTGCAAGGTAAGCAACATGCCTGAGAAGAAATAGAGAAAGACATAGTGGGTGGAGGGATCTGTGTCTCTCTTTGAGGAACCCCAGGGTCAGTAGCTTTTTTGTCCCTTTCATTTACAGCAGAAGCCAGCAGGACTGACCCCTTCCACTGCACAGTATTGCTTTACTCTGCTGTCAGTCTGTCCTTTCAAAAGCGGTGTCAGAGCAGGGGACACCAATCATGCCAAGACATTTTCTAGTGTAATGCAAACCTGGCTGCTGGCTCTGGTTATTCTGGCGCTGAGGGGAAAACATTTGTTTATAATGACACTTGTCAGAACATCATGCTTGCCTCATCTCTTTCCAGACAGCCCTCTGGTTTCTTCGCCTCCTCCTTCCTCAGATTTTCTTTCTTTTTTCTTGTTTCAACAAGCTACTGTGCTGTGTTTTTCGGCCTTCCATTGTCAACTCTTTGCAAGGCTGAGGAATTAATTTTCCTGGGTGTTTTTCTGTGCTCGGTCATTGGTTTGCAAGGTGCGCTGTTGCTAGGCATGTGTGAAAGCTGGTACCTGAGGTAGCTGCCGCGTACCGTATGTTGCCCTCTCCTTTTTTAGCTGCCCTCCTCCTGTGTGTGTTATAGGGAACTGGAAAGTTGGCAGTCTGAACCACCATTGTCCTATCTGTCTGCATGCATTCATGGTATAACAGAGAGTAAACACATTAAGGAGTTCACCAATTACTGGTAAGGGCATTATGGAGTTTACTTGTTCCATCCTGTCAAGACCAGAATACCAAATGAGCGAGTCTACTGTTTTGTTTTGTTTTGCTTTTAATCTTCATGCCATTCTGTCTATCTGCCTATTTATCGAAAATATTTATAGAGCAGCTTAGATAGGTTGGTATTTATGAATGTGTTCGATCCATATTACAGATACGTTCAGCTTCTACATTATCATTCAAGCAGGAGTTTGTTATTTCTCCTGATTTGTCTAGTAACCCAAAAGGCTGCAGATTTTATTTCCCCTAGCAAGTGCATGAATTGCTCTAGATCTAAATGCATGCATGAAGGGACTCTTCCTCTTGCTGGTATTACTTGGCAAGCTGAGAGCTGACTCGTACACCGTTTACCTGCAAAGTGAAGTCCAGCCGTATGGTCGGAAGTGACGCTCTACATGCAGGTGTAGTGAGACAGAAGGCACCCATTTTGTCTCCTTGCACAAAATCTTTCCCCAGCAGCGTGAAGAACGGCACGCACCATTGCACAGAGCAGTTCTCCCTGCTCGTCCAAGCATTTGCTGGAGTGTGCCCAGTGTGGAATGCACTCGCTAGCCTGGAGGCGCACCCTGCCTCGCTGCTCACTATAGCGGGGCATAGCTAACCGACTGTAGGTGGTTTATTGCTGGTAAAACCTCACAGCGTACAATTTCCATTTACCTGTCAAGAAAAATATAGGTACAAATGAATTTTAGAGCCAAGCACATGTATTATTAATTTTATTTGTGCCTATTAGATACGGGCCTAAGCAGCAAAATTGAGTTCTGTAGCTTAGCTTTCACCTAAATGTGTGGGAGTCGAGCTCTGAACTACTGCCACCTTTCTGAGGATGAGAAAATTCAGGTTTTGGCACACCTAAACTCTGAACGCTTGTAAACAAGGTATCTGTGGATAATCTTTAACGCCTGCCACAGATTTAGCAAAGACCCATTGTGTTATCGTGCTTCCCTTTAATGCCCAAGGTCCTGTAATCCTGTATTTAGGTGAAACTCATAGCTTTGATTTTTCTAGAACTAAATTTCATCTGGTAAAAAAAAACCCAAGCAAAATCTAAATACAAAATTCTTTACAATTAGGAAGAGTTAGACTCATAATTTTAAACCATGTTTTTATTCATTTAAAACTAATAAATAATTCATTTTAAATAACCCTAACTAATAAAACTAAATCATTAGAAAATAGTACGTTAGAAAATATTCCTTTCCTCTGAGTATAATTTTCTCACATTGATTATTATTATTCTCAGATTTGCAGGTTGCCTGCCTGAAAAATAGTCTGCCACTAGTACAAATGAAAGGAGTTTGGGTATTGAGTCACGCTAGGCTTTTTAGTTTTACCTACTTAATGTAGTTTATTTACTTCTCTTGGTTTCGTGTTCATAAATTTAAAAACGTTGCCTATGTGAAACTCTGGGCATCCCAAACGTAAAAATAAATAAATAACAGGAAATACAGCTCCTGAAAAATTAAATAACGGTGTTTGACTGATCTGCATGGTAATCTGGCAAGAGGATTTCAAGAATGATGGTCAGTGATTCCCTTCAAACAAGCCCAAGGAAGCCAAAACAAGCCGTGGGCAGAGACTCGTTGCTAGCTTTGCGCACACTGGTGATGCCTGGATTTGTCAGTGATAGCTACTCATGCCTTGGAAGCAGTGGGCTGCCTTTGGGCCATGCCCAGCCTTCCCATTCTACTCAGTTAGCACTGTCATGGGTATTTCTGCTCCCAGCTTTCTTAATCTTCCCCTGGTTCAACTCCCTCATCTGTATAGCTACTGTGGAAACCCAGCTCCTGTCACCCCTAGAAACATATGGGATAGCTGTATCAGAGACTAATAGGTAGGCAGATCCTGGGATGGTGCCGGAGCCCATATAAATAGAGAAAACAACTTCCATGCCCACAGTGCCAGCTGAAATAGATGGGCTTTGGTGCATCCCAAGGATTCACTGCATTTAGATCACTGCAGGCTAATGGAGTTGCAATCCCAGAGCAGGTCCTTTCTTCTCTTGAGAAAATCAGCATTCTCTGGGGTGAGCTCTGCTCAGTGAGCTCTGCTGGCCAGAGCTGCAGAAGTATATCACAAAAAGAGGGTCATCACCTCTCTAATGTGTGTGCCCATGTCCTTTAGTATTTCCAAGGGAGGAGCCAATTGTGTCTTGTCAGCCAGCACCAGTCTCTGTGTAGGCAGCCTACTCGGTCCACTGCTTGCCGCTCTGGCTTAAGTGTGTATGTCCACTCTCTGCTGGGGCATATTGCAGAGGTCTAAAAGAGGGGTAATGAAATGACATTTCAGAAAAAAAAAATCACAGCTCAGCAGCTGAAAGTAGAAAAAGTCCCCATCATAAGACTTTCTTTCCTTTCAAACTCAAAGCCAACTCTGCAGGTCAAAGTAGGCATTCACTTCGATTCACGAGTATACCCTTGGACGTATCTTCTGCCTTTCTGACCCAGGTGACCAGCACTGCTTGCAGGGTGGATTGAACTGGAGGCAGTTGTCTCTCTCAGCTCAGTTGCTACCAGATGCTGGTACTGCGCTCTCTGCAATGAGGTGAAAGCATGAAGAGACTGCTCAGAACCACCCCCTCACTCAAAGCCTTTCATGCTACTTCAGTTGGGGTGCAATGGCTACTAGCAACTCTTTCTGTTTACTACCACAGATGTTTCTGCTGGGGTCTGATCAGAGGAGCAAAAAGCTGGGACATACGACTAGAAGTGGTCTGGTCCTTACCCCATGCACTGAGACAAGACCGGCTATTCAGTGGCTGCCCCTAACATGTATTTTTAAGACGCCCTGTGCTTGCTTTGTCAGAGCATGGCCATTATTTCACTCTCCTTGCACTTGGAAAGCTTTTATTAACATATGATCCAAATTGATTTTGCTGCCAATTATTTCTGGTCCTTTCAAGACACATGGTGGTAATTTCTCCTCCTCAAAACTACCTTTTATCTGCTAGAAGCCCATTAATCCCTGTGTCTCAGACCTCTTTAGTCCAGCTTAACAGGCTCACTGCTTCTTGCAGGTCATATTTTCCAACCTTTATATGTATTTCACTGCTTTCTGATTTGTCTACATGTGTACTGTCCAAAACTAAAACAAAAGCTTCAGTTTTGGATTCAGTCATGCAGATATAAGTACCAGCCGTGTTTTGCATATTATGCTTCACTTACCTACCCCCATGATGAGATGAGATTTACCTTTTTTTATAAGAATGCCTCATTGTTTTCACTGATTCAGTCTCTCTGCTGCTCTCTAACTCTCTGTTACTGGTCTGCAGCACAATCCTCTGCTTATTCCTCACTTCTGTATTTGAGCATTAATTGGTTTTGCCTCTTTCCTGAGCATAGCACTTTGTGCTTGCTGTTGTTGGATGCCATCTGCTTGGTTTCTCCACAGAGGCCACTTCTTCAGTTTACTTATGATCATGGTCTCCAAAGCACTTGCAACTGCCCCCAACTTGGTGTCACCGACAAAAGTCAGGTACTTCCTTTCTGTTCCATCATGAAGGTGTTAATTAAAGTATTGAAGAGACAAAAGCGGACTGTGGTAGCAACCCACTAAAACTTCCATCCCTGGTGGATAGCGATCTGTTGATTGCAGCTCTTTGAAGCATCCTGAGGCTGATTTAGCATCCACCATATTCAATTAGCTTGTTCAGGAAACTGTCGGACCTTCTGAAGTCAAGATATATCACATCATCACACATACTGCTCCCACATTACCTGCTATGCCAGATATCCTACCAAAAAAAGGAATGAGACTGGGGTAACATGATTTGTGCTTGCTAGAAGTACATTCCTTGTTTTTTCCTTGGCTGTATTTATCATCTAGGTGTTTATAAATGGGATGTTTAATCGTTTGTTCCAGTATGTTGAGTAGAGAATGAGTTGTGATGGAGATGTATGTGGCAGCTGGCGCTTTCCCATTGTTACCTTGGGTCCTTGTTCTTTTAGGGCTATATCCTCAAGCCCTTCTCAGGCATTAAATATCAGTGGAGAGATCCCTATAGTCTTTACTTGTCTCATCAGGGTCACAGGCACAAAGACACAGAGATCTTAGCAGGCATGGGGTTTAAAAGTTTCTGCAATAAAGACTTAGACCTGTCCAAGTAAGGCTAAAGGAGTAACTCTTTCAACCAGAGGCAAGCAAATGGTTGCTGTGTTTGCTGTCCAGAGCCTTTACAGCAAGGCATCATTGTGAATGGAGATAGTTGGGACTTTTCAGTGAAACTAAAACATTTTACTTGTTTTAGCTTGATT